CATAACGTAGGATAGTATTCAATCAAAGAAAATGGAACGAATAATATTGCGAGAGATTACCAAGCTTTCGCCTCGTCATACGATATAATTGGTCGCGAAATTTATTTCTGCCGATTCTATAGTCAATAATTGCTTATACCTTGAACAAGTTCCTTCGTCCATGAAAAGTTTGCCGTTCAATGGAAATTACGATCGACCGAATTTGTAAAGTAATTGTGGCGTACGGTATTGGTGAATCCTCGGGGCCTCGGGAGGATCGATCGGTCACGTTTGAAAACCGGGTCAATGCAACAGTAAAACAATAAAATACTTGAGGTAGATATCTCCGATCTTGCTTAAAACAAATATTTTCTGAAACAATATTGACGTAGCTAGCTCTACATGCAACTAATGCACGCTCGGAATATCGCAAGCACACAAACTGCACGTAAGATAAACTATCGGAGGTCTTCTTCACCGTGTTCAACAGATTCTGACATGGTTTAGGTCACCCGTTCTTTTATCATTCACCGCAAAGAATTATTCCGCACGTCGTCGAAAGTAATACAAGAAATTAGGGAAAATATCGTAAAATTAATCCACGTTATAAAGTAACACGATCTGACGTGTGACATTAAATTGTATAATTACACGTCGAGCAGGCTTCGTTAATTTTATTACCAAATTTATTGCCGTTGACGCGAGAGGCGCGGGGAATTAACGTCACTGGTTGCTTGAAAAATTTCCAATGCCAATTGCGCGGAGATGAATCAAGAGGTAAACGCACTCTTGCCGTGCTTACGTAAAATTTTTCACACGTCAGACTCGGTCTCACACTCCGACGATTCAAAAAGTCATAACCGATTTATGATCGATCCCAGCCGTGCGCGGTCACGTGTTGCAATTGTCCGCAGAAATGGTCGCGAATATCGAACGATTTCGTATGCGGTACGGTTAATGCCATATAAACGTGCGAACGTGCTTTCTCTCCATCTAGGGAGACATGCTCGAAAAATATTCCCTCGTACAGGCGCGCTTCTTTTCTCTCTCTCTCTCTCTCTCGTTCTGTTTCTCGTTTTCTCGCTTTGTGCTTGGACACAATCCGTATACTTGTCGGTCGCTTTACACGGGACTTTGCACGCGACATTTTCTATTTATTAAATACACGAGCACGCATAACGCCGCGGCGGTCTGTCCACTCGCTTCCGGTGAGAGCACCGACACTTGTTGCAGCTGTGAGCGTGTCTACGCACGTGTGAGCGCCCGCTAATAGCAGGTAAAACGCGCGCCCGTGCACCGTTTATGGACGTGAAAGTCCTCGATCTCCGCGAACGCGACGATTGGCAATCTATCGATCCCTCGGACGAACCTTTATTTATCTATTTAGTTGGCATTTCGTCGTATCGGCGATATTGCTTGGTCACATCGAACGAAACGATCGACTTCTTGTCGTTTGACAATTAATCGTCGACATTTGTTTAAAAAAAAAAAAATAATAATAATATTTCGTTTGGGAAAGCTGGGCGACAATTGGAGAACATTCGTCTTTAATATACTCACAATATACTGTTCGATAAAACGAACATTTGAAATTTTCTCTATTGAACCCCTTGCGCTGGCAAACTGGTTTGCGGACCATGACGAGTGACCGAACCCTATACAATAATTCGTCGCTTTCTTTTTCTTTTGAACTCGGTGTGATGTCACTGTTACCTTTATAATATACTTAAGAGGTTAAAAAGAAGGTTAAATATTGTACATAAATATCACACGATTATATCAGGATTCGTAATTTCGAAGAAATTCCCTTGTGCGAATCGATGTGAAAACAATTTCCCGAGATGAAATCTCGGATGGATCCATATCGTTGATCCATCGATTCGCATCGTCACGTCACGGGGATCGAGATTACGCGTATTGATAAGTACATACGTACACACACGCACACGGGAAGTATCCGCGCGCACGTTTGAATGCAAATAGAGGAAGAGAAAGAGGAAGAGAGGCGAGAGAGAAGAAGAAGAAGAAGAAGAAGAAGAAAAAAGAGCAGTCGCAATCACGATCAGTCGCAATGAATTCAATCGGACCCATGCGTTCCTCTCCTTTGTGCGACTGTTACAAGGGGCGCGTGAATGGATCCGAGTAATTTCTCTCTTGAGATCGCACGAATTGATCCTCGTGATCTTAATCGACGGGCCTCGGGAGTCGGGCGAACGGTGTATAATTGATTTAAGCTCGCAACGGAACGCTTTTAACTCTGATTTGCGAGATGAAGACGCGCCCTGTGCGAGAAACCCCGTTCATTGTGTAATTTTGGAACACTTCCTGCTTGAGCAGAGGCGGTTGAACAATAACCAACAACCATTCTTTTTCACAGTGATCTTTACGTCGTGGCGTACGATTCTTGCCCTCGGCGCCCATCTTGAATTTAATCTCGCGATATTATAGCTCAACACGTTCCGATTTTTGGTTACTTTCCGTTTAGGCTATTACGATCAATAATTTTGCTTCCCAAGTGCTGTGTCTTGCAATTTTCATAATGGTGCAAAAATTATAATTATCAAGGAAAGTGTCTACAAAACAAAGCAATAAATTTCATTTCAAAGTATTATTTTAACGAACGATTTTTTACAAAATTAATTTAAAAGTAAGAGATTTTGTGTATGTAAGTAATAAGTGTAAGCATGACAAGAATATAGGAGAATCGTACGTAATTTCTCGTCCTGACGTTATTTAAAAAAATTGCCACCAAACACTGAAGATTTCTTTCACGCGTTAAAATACAATAAGAATAGAATTAGAATATACGAATTGGGGGATCGAAAGATGTCGAAAAATGTCGACGAATCTAAGGCGAATAATTCGTCTAAGGCGACAGATAGTCTAAAACAAAGAGGGAACAGTAGCATTGAGAAATAAAACCTTGCGAAACGATATAACTTCCTCCACTACCGCCGCAAGAACGTCGTTCCCGCCATGTCTGGCATCGTTGTCCATGATAATTAACTCTGGTCTTATCCCGGTCACGTGATAGTCGTTAGTTGTTATTCCATTCGTACGTCCGTACGTCCTCAAGCAAATCGTAAGAATAGAGTAAGAGGACCAAAGGCCCTGCATAACAATCACCATATACCTACGTTGGGAACGCGTCATAACTCGTTACGACGAATTCCGATGGCCCGAACCTGCAATTAGTCGACGAAGAAAAAGATTCGAGATAACGAAACGTGCGTCGATACTGTCGCCGCCGTTTGGTGGAACACACACACACACACGCACACACACATACACACACGCAGGGACGATGGAATTTTTGTGACGTTGGAATCTTGGTCGAGGCAACGTGGAAAATGTCGACGATGGGGGGAAATCAACCCTTTGCGTTCGACTGTCCCTTCTGAGGAGACATCGTACTTAAATTTAGCCAACTTCCTCTTTTTATAATTTACTGATAATTATAACGAACGTATACATTTGATATAGTGATAATATGATAATATTTTAATAATATATTGTGAATATATTATATATATAATATGATAATATAATAAATAATAAATATAATATCTAAAAAATATAATAATATATAATATTATATTTATAATATAATATTTATAATATAATATATTATAAATATAATAATATAATATCTGAACAGATTCTTAGAGTGAAAGCTACGACGAAGAAAAAGAAACTTTTGAAGACAGTCCCGAATCAATTGACGTTCATTGGAATGATTCACATAATTCGGAATATAATTCACATAAACTAGCATCACTAGAACGAGATTCGTAAAAATAAATTACAATTATAGGGAACGTTGTGAGTTCTGTTTCGGCGTATGCGTGTTTAATTAACGCGAATGAAAAGTTGGTTGAAATACGATCGGCGGTGAGTGTGTTAATTAACGCTAAGAATGATACCCGCTTGGATACCGTTAGAAAATTTAATTTCTTTCTGTTAATGATCTCCCAGCGGATAGAATAAATTGGAAAGTGCACTATAACCTTCACGGAATATTTCAGAATGAGCACTGCGTGCTTAGAGGATAATTATACCTGAATATCTACAGACATCCCACATGAATCATTATCAACGAGTCTACGAGATATTGACGCGACAATATTATTACTATTGTAACTATTGCCACGACAACAAACGACTTTTAACCACAAAACCGTTATTACTAAATTTCAGCCTCGGGTGAAATATGCAAAAAAAAAAAAAAAAAAAAGAAAAGAAAAAAGAAAACAGTGATTCGAGAAGTAACTAGTAGAAGCAGAGACTCTCAGATCAAATATTTGACATTCCTGCGGTTCTTGAAAAATCAAGAGAGTTACTCAGGCGACGTGTAAAGTACGCCTCGGATGACGAATCCTTTCGGAAGCCGAGCGACAAAGCGACTTTCCCAAAATCTCAGGAACGAAACATCGTTCAAACAGATAATACGCCTCGCACCGCGAAAGTTGAAGTGGAGGCGCGATCCTTGAAAGGGGCCCCGTGGTCGAAGCAGTTCTAAGAAGCATTTAGGTATAGAGGAACCCTTGGGTCGCGACAAGCCTCCCCAACTTCTGATACTTTTGATCTGGACTGGTATTTCCGCCTTTTGTATCTCCTGTGACCGTTAAAGCTTCGAAAGAGTCCACTCGAAGACGAGAAAATGATCGGTATCGAAAGATGCAACCAAACTTTCAATTTATTCGCGGTTTCAACCCCCTTGCGCTGGCAACTGATTTTTGCGGACCATAACGAGCGACCAAACTGTATACAACAATTCGTCGCTTCCTTTTTCTTTTTGAACTGGTCGGTATGATATCACTGGATAGAAATTATTCAGAAGCAATAAATTTATTATTCGTTTTGCCTGAGTTATACTCAAATATACTCAAAACTGAGAAAATATTGCAATTTTAAGGACAAAAGATTCTCGACGTGCGCGGCACGACATTCCAGCGCAAGAGGTTAAAGAAATATTTTCTTAGAAAAATGCTTTCGAATTAAAAGTTACAGAGGTTACTTACGCTTTTGCTGTGACTGGTGCTGTGCGTGTGATGCGTGTCGATTTTCATGTTGGCGCACCGATTAAGCGCGTGTAATCGCCGAAACAGACTCTGCAGGGAATCGGCCTCGAGGAAGGGGTGATCCTTGGCTACACCAGAAACATCTATCGGGAACTGATAATCTGAAACAAGGAACACGAAAGAAATATTGTAATTATCGTCAATCGTTGAGAATTGTATCTAAAAATATTTCAAAATGATAGAAGAACCTGACGCTGAAACAACATTATCGAAAAATCTAAAAACAAAAAGAGACATCTCAAAAAATTGAAGAATATCCTCTTCGAGCGAAATAAAACGAAATAAAATTTTACCAAAAATTGTATCTAAAAATATTTCAAAATGATAGAAGAACCTGACGCTGAAACAACATTATCGAAAAATCTAAAAACAAAAAGAGACATCTCAAAAAATTGAAGAATATCCTCTTCGAGCGAAATAAAACGAAATAAAATTTCACCAAAAACAGTTTGTCAGCCAGCACAACCGACTCTCAGTGGTCCGTGTACCTCTATCGTTTCGCATGCACGTCAGTCTAATTGAAATAATGGCAAAACAGAGCGTGCCTCTTTCTATCGTTCTTCGTTTCTAATTAAATTTAAACGAGCGCTACCGCGCTCGGAAAAATAGACGAGGAAGAACGTGAGGGCCTCGGCAATGGCTGTTGCAAGGATTTTATGGGCCCATCGAGTTTACGAGAAGATTAATGCCCAAGGGCACCGACCGTGTCCATTCAAAAATGATCCTTCGTTTGCGCGAGTTTATGAATCGATGTTTCGAGTGTATCGCCGCGAGTTTGAATTACTTGATTAATGACTTTGTACTGCAAGGTACGTATGTTTGCTCAACTTTCGACTCGGAATCTAATTCGTTTCTAACGTATCGATCGGACTGTATTTGAGAGCCTGTTGATTAGTTCGAGAAGCTTCGATTTCAAAAAAGAACAGGCGCGTCTTTTTCCATGACTTTTTATATTTGCATACGAAGTTTCTCCAACATTCTACTGAAACAAATAATATAAATAATCGTATTTTCGTAGCTTCGAGTCTTAAGGAGTCAGGACAGTTTGAAATTTTCGATTTTTTGTTTTGTTTTAAATAGTAGTTTGAAGTCTTAGAAATAAGATACAAAGGGTCCTAGCCTTTAAAACGACTTATTTTGGGATATAATAACAAATTTGCCACTGATACGGAATAATTGAATTTGTATCACTGTTTACAACTTTAAGCAGAATTATAAAGTGTAAATCGTGTGATTCAAATATTACTTTTGGTGAATAAAATATTAGGGGACTTGGATTCAATTTAGTTGCGAATTGTAGGAATTGTGAGTCGCGATGTTTAAGTAAAAAAACGTAAATGAAACTTTAAACGCGTTTTTCGCCAAACTAGTTTAGAAACAGTGTGCAGAATATCTTGGAATCTAACCAACTGATTACTGTGAAACTTGGTACGTATCTATAGTGTAATATTTACTAGAGATTGACGATCGAACATTTTTTAACACTTTCGAAAAATATAAACGAAAAACGTAGAAATTTTTGGCATAAATTCGATACATGAAAAATAAAGAGCTGCCATTTTCACAATTTTCATAAAAATGAAAATGTTGGATCGTCCCTAGAGAATATTGTTTACTTTCGAACTTTTTTTGCCTTTTTGTTGCAACTAATTTTGTTTGGCTGGAATCATACGTCAATAGACAATGTAAAAAAAAAAGTTATGTAAAACGATGCGTTAAAGTTAAAAAGTTAAGAGTACCCTTTTTTTCTCTTTCAATGTTGCTTCTTATAGTTCATAATGTGTTAAAATGAACCACAAAAGCTCATGTCGATCAAATATGTACTTTTGTTTCACTATCCCTCCAAAGTAATTCGTAATTTTTAGGCCCGTCAAACTGTCCTGCCCCCTCAAACACTCGTCCAATTATATATTATACATTATACATTATATATTATAATCGTCGAAATTATAAAAAAAAAAATGAAGTTTCGCTTCAAAAAATTGCCTTCTAATTTTCAAAATCCAGCAAACGATTTGCGTTCGACAGAAACGCAGAGGGGGAGAAAAAGAAAGGTCACACTTCTGTGCAACTGTTTCTTCCTCTGGTGGAGACGTACGACGCTCTCGCGGCATGTGTGCACGACTATACGTCCCACTGGACCGTTATTTTATCCCTTATCGGCTTTCACCCGAAAATTTCGTCCAGCCACGCAGGTGACGTTGTTCTTTGGCCGTTCTCGCGATGGCCGTGGCCATCAGTCTCTGTCCCCTTTTGTTCCCGTTGCGAGACACGCCGTGGATACACGCGGCCTCCATCGCGGCTTGCGCAACGTCGACCCAGATCTTCTGAACCAGATCTCGGATCTATGATCTCGGCGAGGGTCAATTGCGGATCAATTAACGCGTTCGCGTAACGTTAATCTTTCGACCCCGCGCACTTTCTTTCTTTTTGTTTCGTTTCCTTTTCCCGACGAATCGAGAAGAATCGATCGTGAAGTTGCTGATACAGAGAAAAAAGAGGGGAACGCTACGAGATTTCATACGGAGCGAAGAACGATTTGGATTGGGCAAAAAAATCCAGGTAGAAAGGTAGAAGTTTCAATGAAATTCGTCGCTTCTGGTTGGGAACGATTCTAGGAAATATGGAAAAAATGGAAACCAAGAATTATGAAGAATTATGAAAAATAAATAGTACGATTGGGGATGTTATCGAGAAGAGCAACAAGGAGAAATCTGAGAAACTTCTTTCGTTTACTTTCTCAAAAGTTCAACCCCTTGAGCTTGTGACGCTGTTGTGATTGATGTTGATTGTGTTTCATCGACTTTATCCTGTTCGCTTCGTTTTATTCGAATTATGACGAGTTTGGTCGTTGTAACGGTGCTTTCTCTATAAAAGCATGGCAACGGTCGAGGCTTCGTCTATTCCCTTCCGTGATTCGGCGTTCCTCGCGATAATCAGGAAATTAAGCTACGCCGCGTGACGTAAACGAATTTACATACGCCCTGAAACCTGAAAGCTTTCGATGAACTCGTTGATATGAAAATCCTTCCCGAGATCGGTATCCACTTCCTTCCTAATAAATGATTCAACAGTTGGACCGTCCTCTTCTCGAGCAGGAAATTCCGAAAGTATCTTATAATAGATGGAGATCGTTCTGTTCTAAATAACTCACTTGGGAAGTATTACATTTTTCAGAAGATGATTTCCTTTCGTGACCCGTAGCTCTTTAATTAAATTGTGTTAGTGTAATTGTTGTTGGGTCGAACAATAAAAATTTGTTTCGATAAAATTATTATACCTTCTGATTATTATACCTTCAGTGATCTGTTTTAACGAGATTTTTTATATTTTGAAATTCTTTGAACTCGACGAAGAGAATTATCCAAAGCAAGGTTTCTCAAATTATAAAAAATTTCTCCACTCAAAAAAAAATTTATTCGAAAGCAATCCTTTGGTACATATACGGAATATAGTTTTACCATGTATTAAAGACAAAGCCAAATATTTATACTAATTTTTTATTTTTGTTTCTTTCTTTTATTTTCTTAGTGTAGAAACCTTCGAAGATAATTGCGACATCTATTGGTTGCTGATCGTGTGATGTGTGTGTTATGCGATAGTATGCCTGAGTGTGGTCGCAAAGTCTGGCGTCTTCGGTTGTTTTTTAGATCTTTGATTGTTGTATGGTATCCAGAGAACGGCTAAGAGAATGCAAGTAAAGATTCAGTGATTAATATCTTCGATATCTTCATTATCCCACAATTAATTTACAACACTTTGCTTCTTCCGCGTGAACGATGAAATTTCGTATAAAAATAAAAACAGCACGTCTTGGAACTAAGCAACATAGCAAATCAGGCATCTACGTTGTACCAAAGTAATTAAGAAACTCGAGTCCACTTCGAAAAAAAGAAAAGGAAACCATCCACTCCGCGAACGACGTTGAAATGAAAAATTTCTAAAAACATCGGTGTCGTTCGAGCAACGAGTCCCAAAACGAAAACTTCGCAACTTCCAGTAGAGAGCCGCTTTTCAGTAGCTACTTTCTAACGAATAAATCAGCGGATCTGGCTTTTAACGATCTACAATCGATTGCCTACTGACTTCTAATAACGATTCCCCGCGGAAGAGTAAAAGGAGGCTGTGACGCGGCTCCAGCGTGCAGTTTCGCGACGATTTTACATTTAACGAACACGTCGGCTCGTTAACCGTGTCTCGCGTACGCTTTTTCATCTGGTGAACGTGAGTCTACGTTCACGCACGCGCCGATATTCCATTAAATCGGGACAAACGAGACGCATCGCGGCCTTCGCTGCGATCGCAACGAAATCATCATGGTCAGCCAGGTAACTATTGCTCCACGATCGATAGATTAACGTTAACGATTGGCCGATTACGCTCTCACTTCCTGGATGTACTAATTGCCGTACCGTTCCGCGAGGAAAGCTCGTCGCGCCGGCTCGCTGCCCTCGCCCGACGTATCAATTAGCATCCGCGGCCACTCGGTTTCACTCATTATATTAGCCGTCGTTATTAGCGTAATCAATAAATACGAAAACGGAACGACCGGGATAATTGGAGTGAACAATTTCAGATAATCGCCGGGAGTTTGAATAATCAAGCATCGTCTCGTCTCTCTTTCTCTCTCTGCCGATCGCCGTGAACATCGTCGTATCCTCTGAATCGACTCCGAAAGAATTCCGTGAGAAAGGATATGAACGTGGATGGAAGCTATCCCCGGTATTTCTCATTCGGCATTTTTGCTGAATATTAAATATCATAATGTCCTCGGTGGAGCGCGGCGAATATTCATAGATCGGTATTTCGTGCGATCGATAGCCGTGCGTTTCGTAAGTCGGGCGCGAAGTTGCACGCGCGTTGTTGTTGCATCGTGAACAATTGCAAGTGGCAGAAATGATAATTTCAGTGTATGAAACACCTCGCGTGAATCCAGCACGTTGAACGAGGCGTTCGTTTCGTAACAGCGATCTAACGTTAAGGATGAAACGAGCATCCTGTTGGCCGTGAGTTCCGTTTTCGCTGAAAGAAAAGGGGCCTTTCCTTTTTTTTTTTTTTTTTCCACTTTTCGTGCGTGAAACGTTGCCCCTCGAGCCGAATC